TTTTTTTTTTTTTTTTTTTTAAGACAGGCTAAAATGTCCAGGCTAGCCTCAAACTTGAGATCCCCCTGCCTCAGCCTCCCAGAAGTATAGGGATTATAGTCATACACTACCATACCAGGCGAAGATGTTTTGAAGTATTTGTACACTATGTTTAAATTGGCTAATAGGCAGCCTCACATGCTGTTGTTTCTTTGTGGTGTCTGTTCCTGCTCCTGACTGTAAGTGTATCTTCATTGCTGCAGTACACATGAATTTGACCACTTTTCCATTTCTGTTGGTGGGATCAGAGCTCTACGTACATAGCCAGGCACTTGTGGGACTCCAGTAAGTTAGAACATGTGATGGACCATAAAGCAGGTCTCAATGGATTTAAAAGGATTCAAATCACACAGAATTGTTTCCTTATCTCAGAAGAATTTAATTGGAAACGAGTAACAAAGATACCTAGAAAAATCTCCAGATATTTTCAACATAACGTATATCCAACTAACCCCTAGGCTAGGCCTGGTACTGCGCGCTTGTCATCCCAGCACTTGGAGGCTGAGGCAGGAGGCTTACCTATTTTTTCTGGCCAGTTTGGAATAAGTAGTGAGTTCAAGGCCAGCCTGAGCTACCTAGTGAGAACTTATCTCAAACAAACAAACAAAAAGTCCTACATACATGTAATGCTTAGCATTCCTGTTCTACCTATTGTCAGAATTTCACATACAAATGCTACAGACAAAAAAACAAACATGTAGGTAAAAGCTCAGTAATCAGAGTTCTAAGAAGTTACCTTCGATGTTTATTTTTCTAATTAATGGTGTCTGCCCACAAATGTTCATCTCCTTAGGTGTCTGTGACAAGTGCAGAACAAAACCACTCATAAGGAACTGGCTGTAGGCCTCTGGGGAGTAGGAGAGAGACCCTCGGGCACCGTGTGGAGAGGGGTGTATGTGTCTTTCTTTGGGAAGCCCAGGCGGCGGGGGGATCTCACAGACACCCTGCCACCTCCTGCAGAGGGTTCAGGGGACCTCGGTGCTCCCTGCCTCTGGTGCACTGTGGGCCCCACACAGCTTCGACAGACTCCGCCATACCTGCTTCCCTCTCCTCTCCTCCCGTGCCTGTGGCAGGGTTTGTTTTGTTTTGATTTGGTTTTGTGATGCTGGGCATTGAGCCCAAGGCCTTGCACATGGTAGGCAAGTGCTGTACCACTGAGCTACATCTCCGGACTGGTGGTCATTGGTTAGTTTTTTGCAGTATTGGGGATTGGACCCAGGGCCTTTGCACAGAGCTACATCCCCAGCCCCCTGTTTATTTTTTATTTTGAGAGACTCTCTAAATTGCTAAATTTCCCAGGCCAGACTCAAACTTTTGGTCTCTGAGAAGCTGGCGCACTTGGCATTTCCTGGTGACATTGTTTCCCCTGGCACCAGGGCTTGTGAGAAGGACTGTCACATATTGCTGCACACATACCTTTCCCGTCCGGCCTTGGGGCTCAGCACATGGGCAGTGCACACTTGGAGTGTTCAAAGATTGTGTGCAGATGATGTCCAGCCGGAGGCGAGAGATGGGCCGGGCCCTCCTGCACACTGTGCTGCCTGCCCTGCTCCAGCCCCGACACCCTTATGCCTCATCCCTGACTGCCTTCTGAAATGCCTCCTAGGTACAGCAACAGCCCCTGGAGCTGGACACTGTGCAGCGGGAGCTTCCCCGGGTGGTAGACCAGGTGCACCTGGAAGTTCTGGAGCTGCAGAAGCAGGTGGCTGAGCTGCAGAAGCCTCTCGGGACAGCTCGGCCGGAAGGAGGGGAACCTTCTCACAGGAAATCACTCCAGAAGGAGGTGGGTCCCCGCACAGGTGGCTGGCACTGCTGTGCCCTGCCGAGTTGCTGGTCTTCATGCATAGAAGGTTGTCCCCAGAGGTCAGCCCTGCTTGCATCTGCTGTGTGCATCTCCTGCCTTGGGCCTTCCCTAAAGAACTGCCCCAGCCTCGTCTTCAGGCAAAGCCTACAATGCACTGTGGACACAGGCTGTCGCACCCTCACAGCCCAGCCCTGTGCTGCCGCAGGGGCCCTGCCTGTGGGATGATGTTGCCCCCTGCAGACTCCCAAGCCCGGCCTTGGCGCCGCCCTGGTCTCCAGCGGCCTGTGCCACCCAGCCTGTGCCTGGGTCTAAGCTGCACTGTCATCAGGCCCTTCCCTCTACCCACACCCACTGCTGCTTGGAGGCCCTGCCAGCCATCTGCAGTGCTGACATGTGATTACAGGTGCTGACCCATGGTAACCCATGGTGACCTGTGGTTACCTGTACTGAGCGACAGTGGTCTATGGTAACCTGTGGTTACTGACGGTTTAGGGACAAGGAACGATGTCGGTAAGCACTAGTCCTCTGGCAGGAGCAGTCCGTGGCTGAAGACCATGTGTGTGTCCCTGTGGCACCTGGCTTCTGTAACGGAGACCCAGGGACATGACAGGGATGCAGCCCTGGGCCTCTGGCAGGAGCTGCCTCAGAACAGCTGAAGGTGAAGGGCAGGGCGTCAGGGCTGCGGGGCCCGAGCCCCAGCTGGTGCTCAGCCATCAGGCACCAAAAGAGGGCTGGGTCAGCCACTAATGCAGCACTGAGGTGTGTGCAACCCCCAGACCAGCACCTCACCCTCCATGGGCTCCACAGCCCTGCTGCCCTGGGCTCGCTCCTGGCCGGGGGATGTGTGCCTCTGCAGACCTGGCCTGTGGGGTGGCAGCCGTGCATCCTTCACGTCCCTCACAGCTTTCCCAGGACAGCTGCTGGCTGTCAGGGCCGGGAGCTCCTGTCCTCAGCCCTTCCCAGTGGTCTTCTTCCTGTGAGTGCAGAGCAAAGGGACCAGACACTGTGAGGATAAACAGGACTGACACTGAGCGCTGAGTCCTGTGTGGACAGACCAGTCTGCTGTGGTGTCAGGCCCTGCCCCAGTTCTTCGTGGCACAACAGGTAGGCAGGCAGCCTGGGCCTCAGCATCCGACTGGGTCAGGGACTGGGCCCCAGGTGTCTCAGCACCAGGAGAAGGGAGGAGGACCAAAGAGACAGGGCCCCTGGGGTGCAGATGGGGCTGAGGTCACCCATGGCAGTGTCTGTAGCAGTCGTTTCGGATACTTGGAGCAGTAGAAGGACACACGCACACGCACACATTCCGTTCTGTCCTTTGAGGGTCCAGAAACAGCAACTCCCACAGCTTCAAGCACCTGGTGCCCTGAGGCTGGTTCTGGATTTCCTGCTCTGTTCCTGGAACCAGGGCTCTGCGGACAGTGCCAATCTAGTGTAGGGCAGAGGAGGAGGATCCGGAAGAGACTCTGCTGACCAGCTCCAAGCCAATGGGCTTGGCTGGGGGAGATCGCAGGGCACTGGGTCAAACAGGAAATCACAAGTTCACTTTGGGACAGATAAGCAGACCCATGAGAAGATCACCCAGCTCTCAGGGATGATGCAACCTGCTGGGCAGCTGGGACAAGTGTAGACAGAGGCAGAGGTCTAGCAGCAAGGCTGTCCTGGGCTCTAATCAAGCCCCACACAGATCCCTTGACTCCCCAGGAGAGAGACATGAGCTTGACCAAGCTCCCAGGGTCAGGACACATCACTGTCTCGTCCCTGAGGTAGAAAGTTCCGGGACTGGTTTCTGGGCTCCTACCAAAAATGCAGAACCTGGGCCTAAGCACGAGGTGCAGCGGAGAGATGTGACCCAGCCTGGACTCCAGGGTGTCAGCAGTACAAAGCAGACAGGTGCTGGGGCTCTGGGAAGGCCAGTATGTAAACACCGCATGTACTCCGGGTCTTGGGCAGGAGACGGGCTGGGAAGGACACTGTCAGGACCCCAGGTGAAATTCAGCGAGGCAGGGACCGGGCCATGCGTCCACATGTCCTGCATTAGAAGCACAGACTCACCATCTGGGTGTAAAGCAGCACGTCTTCATTTACTCTCAGATACTCCCAGAAACTCCCTTCCACAGAGGGCTGGGCAGTGCTGAGGGATGGCTGTTCTGGGGCTGGGAGTCCAGGGAAGCCTGCACTGCCCTTGCAGGATCTGTGAAAGGCTGGCCTGCCCCTGCCCAGCCAAGGTGTGTGGCTCTCTTCACTGCCCACCTAGGCCCCTGCTCAGGAGACTGAGGCTGGAAGAGTATCCTGCTCCCCGAGCTGCACCGCCCACAGCCCCTTGCTTCTGGCCTCGGGGCCTCTGCCCCCCATGGTTCCTCTGGCTCTCACCACAGCCTCCTGAGGATGGCATTCCTGACCTCCTCATTGCCCAGATTCTCACCCTCACCGGGCTGCTGGCATCCACACTCTGGCAGCCTATGGGACTGTCCTGGCCCTAGGGCCTACTGTGCCTCTCGGGGCCTGTGATTGAGAAGATGTCTCAGTACATCTCCAGTCTGCATTCTTTATTTGGGGGAAAGACTTGAGACTCATGGAAATAAACTTCTAACAAATAACATTGTGCCAGGAACCCAGGTCTCAGAGGCCACTGCTGGCCTAGGACCGGTGAGCATTCAGGAGTGCAGAGCTGGGGCTGCACCTCCCCATGCCTTCTTGTCCAAGGACCCGAAGGCTTCGGGCTCCTCCACACTGGGATCCTGCCGGGGCCATTGCTGTGGTAAGGGGCATCTGGAGAGCAGGTTTCCCCTGGTAGCAGTGGCGAGCTATGGCACACGTGCCACAGCAGACAGTTATCACTGAAAGCTCCAAAAGGTTCGCCATCCCTGCAGAATCTCCAGGCATCTGTTGCCAGCCTGCTCTTCCTCACCTCCGGGACCATGAAAATCACCGAGTCCCATAGTCTCTGGTCCACCGCTTCGTGGGGTAGGAAGCCTCGGGCCCGCTCTTCCAGGCGTGTCCCTCCTCTCCCAGCCCCCCCCACTTGGTCCCTTGTCCTCGGAAGACCACACCTTAACAGAGGGGCAGAGGCACCAGACGCATGCCAGGAATACGTCAGGTTTGGGGCATCCGGCCTAGGCAGGCTCGCCCGAGAGGAGGGCGCACATCTCCTCTGCGTCTCAAACCCTCTGTCCCCCACAGCCATGGCACATTGCATGAGGTGCTGCAGTGTAGTTCCCCAGCTCCAAGGCCACCTGAGGAGCAGAGTGCCTGCAGGGCACAGGTCGTGCCAAGCCTGCGAGGTCTCTAGGCTGTTGGCCAGGACAGGATGTACAGTTCCTTTCTGGGGCATGGCGCTCAAGGCCGAGGGTGAGCTCAGCCTGGCTTTCCACAGGTTGCTGGGCCTGGCACCCCTGTTATTGTCCCAAACACCCACTCCTGTGCGACTTCATAGCTGTGTGATGGAGCCTGGTCCAAGCAAGCTGAGCCAGGACCGCATGTGGCTTCCTGAGGGTCATGTCTCCCATGGCCCTGCCTGCACCACCCCGTCAGCCTCGGCACTTCCGTCTGCCTTCGCCTGCCCCTGAAGTGCCTCAGGGCTGAAGGAAGCCACGGCTGCCACGAAGGGTGGAGGGAGACGTCAGGCAGCTGGGAGAGCCAGCCCGCCCGAGAGTGGGTGACATGGGGACCACTGAAGGGGAGTCCCTGCTCCTGGGAGCAGGGCCTGGCCTGGCCCAGAGCAGCCAGGCAAGCCGGTGAGAGGTTCTCATTGTTTCCTCTGAGAGTCACAAAGGCCCAGATGCCCCATGTCCAGGGGAGGAGAGGTGGGGAGGACCGAGGAACCAGTGTGGGCAGTGGCTGTATAAGTGGGGACCTGTGTGAGCCCCATTGCTTCATGGGAAAGGGGAACCCACCCAAGCATCTTCTGTCCTGCCACCATCGGCACAGGACAGCCACCATCATGTCTGCATTGTGGAGGACGTCCCTGGGCAGAAGCCATACGACCGGCCGAGGGCACAGCCTCCCTGGCCCTCTTCGCACACAGGGCTGTGGGGCATGGGTCTCACAGGATGTCTGCCCCGTGGCTTTGTGTGCAGGGCCTCACAGATGGGACTCCCGTGGGGACAGAGGACCACGACCATTTTTCCAGACACCGACAGTGGGGAACACAGCGCCCCCAGCCTTCATCTGTGCCCCACCTGCAGAGGAAACTGAAGGAAGCATCCAGAAAGATCCTCAGCCTCCACTTGCAGAGGGAGCAGCTCATCGAGATGGGGAACCGGCTGCGTGCCGAGCTGGGCCGCCCCGGAGGTGAGTCAGTCCCTGTGGACTCACTGGGGCCACCGCAGTGGGGCTGGACCATGGTGGGAAGGAGCAAGAGGCCCAGAAGGGGCGGGCATGGAGGCTTTGGGTGTTCTTGGCCTTGCCCTGTGGCCACGTCTGTGAGACACGGCAGAGGGTCAGCAGAGGGAGCATTTCGGGGGGCTGCTCCCAGACCGTGACATCTGTGTCTCTGATGGAGGTGAAGGCTGTGGCCAAGAACTCAGCTGATTTCCTAGGAAGGGTAGGAGACCCTTGAGTCCTGGGTTCTTTTTTTTTTGGTACTTAACATTTTTATTTTAGGCTATAAAAGCAAAAACAAGCAAACAAACAACCAAAAACCATGAAATAGGATCATCAAGTGATGTAAAGCCGAAGGTAGACCATCCTTCACCACTGCGTGCACTCTGCTGGGTTTTGCTCCTTCTGGGCTCATAGTCTGGATCACTTTCCTCGTCTCCTTCTTCCCTTCCTCCACTTCTTCGCGTTCTTCAGCACAATCGCCGTCATCACCTTCAGTAGCTTCTCCAGGGAAGTGTGACGCCGACCTTGGGATTGTCCATGCGCCTAAGAAGTGACTGGTTTCGAGGTCTGCAGCAGGGAGAGCTTCTGCAGCAGCATCCAGACCTCCGCCCTCAGGAGCTTCAGGAGGAGCAAAAAAAATTAAAGAAAGATCGCTGGAAACCGTTTTAGTCACAGCATGAACTGCCCCATGCCCCTTATGTTTCTGCTTCATTTAAATGGCTTTCACAGTGACATTCTTTCCTTTTTTCCAATGTATTTGGCACACTGTAGAGCCTGTGATTTCTGGTCCATCAGATGAAAAGGGATCAGAATCATCTGGTTCAGATCTCATCCTGTGTGTCTTTGTCAACACTTCATTTGTGAAACATTCATTGGGTTCAAAGTGAAACTCCAAGATGGAACTCCTAGGCTGGCTGGAGTCAGAGAACTCTACTTTAATGTCGATCGAGTGCTTCAGAATAGGTTCATCACGTTCCTGAACCACGGCGCTGAGCAAGTCAACATCCTTAAAAACACCCAACCAGAATTCAGGAATTCCTTTAGGGTCTTCCTTTTCTTCATCTTTTTTCTCACCTTCAGTCTTGGCTTTTCTTTCAGCCCCTCCAAAATCTCTTCTCTCATCTCTTTCCAGTCACGTTCTTCCTCCTTAGGTTCATACATTACATCTCAGATTGCTTGTCAAATGGAGGTTGACAGACAACAGTGTACCTCCTTTCAAGATCATGAACTTCCTCATAGGATTTGGCTTCTCTCTGTGCACATTTAACCTAAAGGTCTTCCAGAGCATCCTCTCCTTTTACCTACTCTAGGCAAGCTCTCAGTGTGTCCTTTTAGTGTATCTACCAGACCATCAAGTCATTCTTGAGGGCTGCAAGAATCTGACGATTTTGCATTATCTGAACAATCAACTGATGCACTTTGGTTTTTGTTTCTTCACCAATTTCTTCTTGTATTTCTTCAACATCATCCAAGTCTTGATCAGGTTCAGACTGTTCTTTGCTACAATGTCATGGCATCACACTGTGGTTCATTTGTATTGTCGACGTCTGCCATGTTGTAGAAACTGCAAATATCTGGATCGTATAAAAGGAAGGACTCCCAGCCCTGGGTGGCAGCAGCACCTCAAGGACCTGTCACCTCATCGGTCTCCCAGCTGCTAGTTCGGGCAAGTCCCAGGTTCTTGAAGAAAAGACACAGCGTTCTGAGCCTGCAGGGCAGGCCACACCCAGCAATACCTGGTGACCCAGGGAGTAGCCGCCCCCAGACGGCCCATGGAAGCCCCAGACTCCACACGTGCAGTCTCTCGAGCAGAGGCCCGCCCTGCGTGTCTCTCATCGCTGTCCCCAGCAGACTTTGTCCATCTGCATTGTGCCTCTCAGGTGCTGAGGCGCACACCTGTTCCCTCAGCCTGCGCACCCTCTCTTTTTGCCTCCTGTGCAGCAGGCTTCTGAGTTTCCTGTGATGGCCTCAGGCTATGCTGTGGGGTGCTGTGGGGCCTCCCCCTCCTGGCTGCTGAACACCAGGGGAGCCAGGACCAGGTGGAGACATAAGCCCAGGCCATGTCTCTCAAGGCAGGTCCTGTGCAACCTGAAAAGCCAAGAGCCCTGCGGAGGACCAGCAAGGTTAATACTCAGGGAAGGGTAAGGTCAGCGCACCTGTGTCCTTCCCTCCCTGCTTCTTTGGGTAGCTACAGGGAGGACAGCTGTGGCTTAACGCACTGATGATTTTATCCTACGGCTTCTGAGGGAACCTTGCAATGGGGAAGGGCACGGACTTTGGGCGTTGGACGTGTAGCCCAAGTTTCAGGGAGTGCTGTGCTCCCCGGAAGGGTGTGGGGGCCTAGGAGCCAGGGGCACACCCTCATGCAGCCCTCTGGCCAAACCTGCTGCCCTCTCCAGGCTGCCTCAGCACCAGAGAGAGCCTTGGGTCCCAGAGGGCTGTGAAACTTCCCATACACTGGCACTTTTAATTACTTTTCTTTCTCCTGTCATTCACATTTTGCTAGAAGACTACCCACCTTTTTCTGGTCTCTAGAGCATGAGCCTGGGGCAGCCCATAGCCTTGTTCTCCCTCTGGCTCTGGAATTATCTGTTGTGACTCCGATCTGACATCCCCCGCAGTCTTGTGTGTTCAGAGCTGGGGCTTTCAGGAGGTGACAGGACCACGCAGGCTCTGACTTCGTCCGAGGATCAGTCGGTCCTTTGATGGATCACGATCTGGTGGCATTGAGAGATGACAGAAGCAGAAGGTTGGGGTCTCGGCGTCTCCTTGGGGACTGCAGGTTAGCCCTGCCGCTTCCTCTCTGGCCCCTCACCTGTTCCCTGGCTGCCTTGAGGTGAGCAGCTTCCCTCCACATCACCCTCCACCATGATGTTTCTGCCTTGCCAGAGGCCTAAAGCAATGGAGCCGGCTGCCTATGGACTGAACTCCCTGAAACTGAGCCAAAGCAAGCACCACCTCCCCAGTACCTCCCAAGCACCCGTACTGGGGATTAAACCCAGGACCTTATACTGAGCTGCTTCCCTAGCACATTTTATTTTTTGAGTCTCACTGAGCTGCCCAGCAGGGCCAGCCCTCTCTTCTCCTTTAGGTTGCTTCTCCCAGGCCTTCAGTCACATGATGAAGATCTGCCTACACTCTTCATCTGTCGGGCTTTTGTCATTTCCACATTCTGACGTTAGGCCGAGCTGGAATTTATCTCTGTGCCTGGCAGGGAATAAAGCTCCAACTCCTGCCACATGGCTGTGAGCACAGCCACTCAGTTCATCCCCCAACCTGCACAAGACTGGAGATCTGAAAACCACAAGCGCAGGAAGCCAGGCCCTCTGGACAGACGTGGAAAAGGCATGAAAGACAAGGGGACAGACGGGCGAGTTCTCAGCCATCTGACAAATAGTCGCTGCCCCACAGGCACTGGACCAGTGAGAGGCCCTAGGAATCTAACTGAGAAGGAGCCCCAGCGTGAGGCTAAGTCCACAGCAGGTTCTTTTGCTTCTAAAATCAAAGTTTCAAGGGTGGGCAAGTGTGGTGGTTCAGGCCTGTAATCCCAGCACTTGGGGAAGCTGAGGCAGGAGGATAAGAAGTTTGAGTCCTGCCTGGGCAACTTCGTGAGACCCTCTCTCAAAATAAAGTAAAATAGGGCTGCATGTAGCAGGGTGTCCCTGGGTTCGATCCCCCCAGTGCAAAAAAAAAGTTTCACGTAGGCATGCGCCTCTCCAACACCAAAAGAAACCCGCTCCGCGTCTGGCCTTGAGAAGGGCGAGCACCGCATGGTGTGTAGGAGGGGTCTGGCTTGGTAAGGCCTGTCATCGGCCCATGTTCCTGCCGTGTGGACTCAGCAATCCTTCTGGAACCCACTTAAAAGACACTCAGGGTTCGCCCAGCACGTGTGAGGCCCTGGGCGCCAGCCTCAGCACCGGAAGAAAGGGAAAGGGACTTGGGAACGATGCACGTCCGGGGACATGCCCTAGAAACGCGGGAGGGATCCCCGAAAAGGACCAGATCAAGGGCGGAAGCTGGGGTGGGACTCCCAGGAGCAGCCGCCCCCCTTCATCTCGGCCCTGGAACCCACCTCCAGCAGGTCCCAGTCCGCAGTGGGCTGGTGCTTCTGACGGGTGTGGATGGCGGTGAGGTCCCCGCGGCCCCGGACACTAAGGCGCCCTTTGCTCAGCCTGGTCTCCTCCGCTGTCGTGGGGGTGGCGCGGATTTGGGAGCCCAGCGCCCTGCAGATGTGTCACCGCCTGCCTGGCGGAGTGTGGAGCAGCGGGACCGCGTGTAGGCTGCAGGGCGCCGCTGCCTCTGGCCCCTCTCTGTCCCTCCCCTTGCCCCGCTCCACCGTGCAAGCCCACGGACCGGCCTCCGGGGCAAGCCCTGGCTGCTGCTCAGTGTGTCTCAGCGAAGCCCACCTGGCCCTGTGGCCCCACTTCCAGGCCGTGCTCACTGTGCCTGCCCAGGTGCAGGCCTCACAGGGCCTCTCGCTCTGCTGTGAGGGTAAGGACGGATCCACAGGCGGGGTCCACTGCAGAGCTGAGGCTGCACCCTGCCCCAGACACAGGGACCGTCGCCCGGCCCTGCACCTGCTGAGAAGCCACAGCTGGACAGTGACTGGCCCTTGCACTGAGTGCTATGGATAGTCTAAAAAGGTTTTTGTTTTTTCTCATTGTAAAACAACATTTATATTAATATTTGTTTGTAAACATTTAAAATAGAGTGAGCCAGGGGTGATATTGCAGGCCCATAATTCTGGTACTCAGAAGGCTGAGGCAGGACTGTCCCCATGAGTTTGAGGCCAGCCTGGACTACATAGTGAGACCCTGTCTCAAAGCAACAACAAAAGCCGGGTGTGGTGGCGCACACCTGTAATCCCAGCACTTGGGAGGCTGAGGCAGGAGGATCGCTGTGAGTTGGAGACCAGCCTGGGCTACACAGTGAGCTCCAGATCAGTCTCAACTACACAGTGAGACCCTGTCTCAAAAAACAAAACAAAACAAAACAAAAAATTGGGTTTTAGAAACTAAGGAACATAAATTGAGTTCTAGATTTTGTCTTTCATCACATGGAGAAAACTGATACTTGCGGGCCAAGGACAAAGCCAGCTCCTAAGAGTCTGATCCCCCTGGCCTGCGCAGAGCCTGCTGGTCACTGTGTCCCTGGGAGCTTGGAGGAGTCTAGAAAGTTCCCTGCTGCAGTTTGCAGTCTGTCAAGTAGCAGTAGTTCTGAACCACCACCCAGAACGCACTGGGGTCCTCAACAGTTTACCCAAATTGATTCACTACTCTGGGAAAGGTTATTTTAACAGCCATTATGTCTTTTTGGTAATTTCTTCTTTTGGCAGGTGCCCAGGCAGGGCCTGAACTCCTGGGCTCAAGTGATCCTCCTGCCTCAGCCTCAGCCTGCAGAAGACTGGGAGCACAGCACCACCCGGCCCAGCTGCGCCACCTTCCCGTGCCCTGGCAGCTGTGCCCTCAGGGTCTGCATGGCTGCGTGAAGCTGTGTCCCTCCTGGGTTACACTTGACATTTTCTTGACTTCTCTGTGAGAAGCTGCTTTCATTTTTAAGAGGAATGTTCTGTGCTCTTGAGCGTTTGTGCCCTGCAAGGTAAATTCAGAAGTGGCATGCACACAGAATGGCCTTTCCTGTTCTCGTTCCCAGGGAGACCACCTGGCCATTCCCAGCTTCCCAGTCCGGAGACCCAGGACCCAGAGGACACACCCACAGAGCCCCGGGGGCCTCTGGGACGGTTGCAGCCCCACCCAGAAGCCCAGGTAACTGCTGCCACCTGACAGACACATTGCAAATAATTCTACTGACTGTTGTGGTATTACATTTTCATAAAAGAAACTTCAGGCTACAAATTTTTGTTTTGTTTTGTTTTGTTTTTTAAGACAGAATCTCTGTAATTCACACTGACCTTGAACTCCCTGTATATCCCAGGCTGCCCTCAAACTCACAGGGAGCATTCTTCCTGCCTCAGCCTCCCGAAGGCTGGGATTACAGGTGTGCTCCATCACGCTTGGCCCTCACAAGTTCCAATATAAAACATCTCTGGTTTTCGGTATCCCACCTAGTAACCGGTAACATCCCAATGTGTTTTCTGCTGGGTTTTTTTTTTTTTTTAATTTTATTGAGTTCATTGGTACATTTTAGGGACACAGTACAGTTACATTCATTGTTGGGATAATGTACCTCTACATGGCAAGTCTTGATTCTCATTTTTTCCCCTTACCTCTGCCCTCCCTTCACCCCCTCCTCCCCTCCCCATCTACAAACACTTTATTTTCATCTGGGTTTTTTTTTATTAGTTATAGCATATGTATAGTTTACTATACCTTTGCCTATGTGGGGATTATTTTTAAATCTTTGCTAATGTAACATGTAAAAAGATTGATATCTTTAATAAAAATTTACTTATATTAGATGGTCATGTGGAGTTCAAGGCCATACTAAACTACATAGCGACCCTGTCTCAAAATAAACTCCTACAAAAAATTTTTAAAAGAATAAATAAAATAATCTACTTTTAACCCATGGTCTATACAAAAAATAAAATATAAATGATAAGGGCCAGATTTGGTCCATGAACTATTTTGGAACCCAGTTCATTTTCTTAAATTTTGAGTCTAGGTCTGAGTAACTTGCCCAAGCAGTACTGGACCTCAGCCTCCCGCCTCAGCCTCCCTGAATAAGTGGGATTGCTTTTGTTTGTTTGTTTGTTTGTTTTTCAGTGCTAGGGACTGAACCCCAGGTCTTAGTACTAAGCTACATCCCCAGCCCTTTTTAAAATGTTTTATTTTGAGACAGTGTCTCTATATCATTGCAATCTTCCTGCCTCATCCTCCCAGTGTGCTTTCTGGGATTACAGGTTTGTGCTGCCATACCCAGCTCTATGCATTCTTTTTTTTTTTTCTTTTTTGATACCAGCGATCAAACTTGGGACCTAGTGCTTTTGAAGCAGGCGGCAACACCACTGAGCTACATCCCCAGCCCTGTGTGCATTCTTCTACCTTGAGAATGGGAACGTACCAAACTCTCTTGTCCATTCTCTTGCTGATGGGCATTTAGGGACCAGTGTTCTACCATGACCTTTGTGACAAGCATCTTCCTAGGCCCATGTGCAGTGTTTCTAAAACGGGTCCCAGGGTGGATGCATAGCGATTTCCTCAGCCCTTGTCAAATGACAGTCTGAAGCTACCAGTTTACTCCCCCCGTGTAATACAGAGAACCAGTTGGTGGCATAGAAGTCATTCCGAAGGTCAGCCTGTATCACCACCTGTGACCTCAGGGCTCTGGGGGACCGAGGCAGGAGAGCTGTGAGTTCAAGCCAAGCCAGGGCAACTTAGAGACTTAGTGAGATTTTTTTCTCAGAATTTTTTGTTTTGTTTTGGTTTGGTTTGGTTTTTTGAGGCAGGGTCTCACAATGTAGTTGACACTGACCTGGAACTCACTATGTAGCCCAGGCTGGTCTTGAACTCACAGCCATCCTCTTGCCTCAGCCTCCCAAGTGCTGGGATCACAGGTGTGCGCCACCACGCCTGGCTTATCTCAGAATTTAAAATGTTGAAAAAATGGGCTGAGAATGTAGCTGTGTGAGAAGGTCCTGGGTTCAATCCCCCAGTACTGGAAAAAAAGAGGAATAAAATTAAATTTTAAAAATTATTAAATTTTTTAAAATTTTTGTTTATTTGTTTTATTATTGTCTTATTCATTTCTCTTGTCACTAGAACAAAATACCTGACACCTGCAGCTTAAAGAGGAAAGGTGTATTTTGGCTTACGTTTGTAGAGGTTTCAGTCCACAGTTGGCTTGTTCCAAAGCAGGCTGACATGGCAGAGAGGATTGGTGGAGGAGAAACTCCTCATGGTGTGGTGGCAGGGAAGCAGAAAGAGCAATATTATTTAAATATTAAATAAAAAATTTAAAAAATTAATGAACTTTTAAAGAATAGATTCCTTTTAGTTTTGCACAAACATTTAGTGAAAAGTGCAGTCTCATTGCCCTTCCTACTCCTGTCGTTGACACGCTGTGGATGGGACCCTGTGACCGCCGGTGAGTGGGGTTAGAATGGAGTCTGAGGGCCAGGGACTTAGCTCAGTGGCACCATGCCTGCCTCGCAAGCAAACGTCCTGAGTTCATTCAATCCCCAGTACCAGAAAACAAAATAGAGTCCAGGTTCCCAGGAGCCACACACACCCTCAGCTGGGTGAATGCTTTGCGTGGACACTGCTGGGTTCTCCTCCAGGCTCCGCCCTAAGCTCTTCCCCACCCCTGACAACTACTCCTCTGTGCTGTGTCCCTGGCTGTCCTCCTCCCGGCTGTCAGTGGTGGGCCTCACAGCTTCTTTGCCTTGGTAATGTGCATCTGGACTTCGTCCATGGCTTACGGTGTGGTAGCACTTTTTTTTTTTTTTTTCTTGCTCTGCAGTTCAGGCTAGTCTTGAACTCCCTATGTAGCCCAGGCTGGCCTCAAACTCACAGAGAGCAATCTTCCTGCCTCAGCCTCCCAAGTACTGGGCAGGCATGCGCCATCATGCCTAGCTCCCCATTTCTTTCATTGTTGAGTTACACTCCATTTGGTGGATGCACCACAATTTATTTGAAGATTGATCTTTTCAAAGTTACGTTTTCAAGCTGTTCAGGAACTGAGTGGACTTGTATCCAGGGATTTTACAGCTAGTGAGTCTGCTGAGCAAGTTAATTCCAGTAAATGTTGCAGCCATTGCTCAAGGGCAGACTTCACAGGTGGTCTCACCATGGCTGAGATGGTGCCCACACCACTGTGCGGCCAGGTCTCTTCTTTCAGCATGACTGGCACCACAGCCCTCACTTGGTTTAGAGAGGCGGTTTCAATGTTTTACTGTCAAGTACAGGGTTTGCAGATGGTTTGGTTATGTTGAACCGTATAAAATTGCCATTTTGTCATCTAAAGATGGTCAGTGGTGGGGGTGTAACTCCATGGTAAAGTGCATGCTTAGCGTGCACGAACCCTGAGTTCCAACCTTGCATGACAAAACAAACAAGGTGGCATCAGATAGGCCTTTTGTCAGCACGGAGAAGTTCCTCCTCCTCCCACCCAGCTGAGTTTCCACCCAGAACGTGACAGTCCTGCTGAAGTGGCCCCAGGAGGGCGGGCAGACCGAGGAAGAGCGCGGCTCTGAGAACTGAAGGGAAGGCAGGTTTATCTGCTAGCTAGTGGGCCCAGCGGAAGTCCCCTTCCAGACAGAGTCCGAGTCCCGGTTCTCCACTTGTTCTCAGATTTATCTGTTCTCCAGCCAGGGCTGGGGAGCAAGCAGGATTTACGGAAGAACCTAGCACAGGGTAGGGAGGTGGAGGTAATGTTGCTTTTACAGTTTACCTCTAAGACATAGGGAGGCAGGCAGCTGTGTCTCAGCAGCTCATCTTCAGGGCACAGTGACCTTCGTGGGTTTGGCAGGAGGGGCAGCCTCAGACAGGCCCCGAGACAGGAGAGGCGAGCCTGAGACCATCAGTCTCTGCTTTGTCCCTTGTTCCTTTCCATTCTGCTGCCCCAGTGTGGTGACCGCTCGGCAGCAGCACCTCTGGTGGTCTGATGCAGAGCCACATCTACCCGGAGGTGCCCACGGCTGCCAGGTGTGTGGCACTGGATCTGCCACTGTTGGTGTGGGGAGAGCTCAGAGCCCCCACTGCTGTGGGGTGTGTGTGGTTTTTAAACTGCTGGGAGTATAGCTTATTGGTAAAGCTGGGCTCAAGTCTCACACACCCATAATCCAAACTACGCAGGAGGCTGTGCAGGATTTCAGGTTTGAGGCCTGTCTCAGAATAAAAAGCCCAGGGATGTCACTCTGGTAGCGTGAGGCTCCCCAGTACACCAGAGCAAGTGAGTTTGTAAACTGCTCGTCAGCTTCTGGAGGACTTGATGGTGACCTGTCTCATGTATATTCTAACAGTGCGTTTGTCTTTCCGGTTTATAAACTAGAAGAAAAGGAAGCCAGATGGAGCTGGCATCATGTCCATCTGTGGGGTGTGGGCTGAGTTTCCTGAGCTGGGTGGGGCGCTAGGGGCTCAGCACACCCGGCCTGGACTCCCCGTGTGGGGTGCAGAGAGTGAGAGAAGGAACATGAAGCAAATACCACCGGGACTGGGCCTGGGTCTAGGCCTGGGCAGCTGGGGGAGAGGGCATGGTGGCCAGGAGGGTCCCTGGGGAGCCAGTCTTGGGGCAGGGCAGGTCTGAGCTGCTGGACAGAGTCATCACCCGGGAAGCGCCCTGGCGGGAAGAGCTGAGGCCCATGGAGATCGTTGGAGAGAAGTGAGAGGGGTGGCCCAAGACGGCCCAGGACCCCGGCGTGGGCCCCCACAGGTCTCACCCCCTACACAGGGGCCTTAGGAGTCATTTCCGGGCCCCTGCACTGACCCCGCAGGCCGGGCTGTGGCTCGGCATCTGCCCGTGTGAACGGGGTCCCGGGTTCCGTCCCTCACCACCCAGTCTCCACGTGAACTCCACATCAGAGAAACGTGCCCGCATCCACCCTGGTGAAGCACAGGCAAGGGGTGATCTGCATAGGGTGAATGTTTAAAACTTTTAAGTTACAGAAAAAGATACAATATCATTGATCCTTCTCGGAATACAGAACTTCTCCTGGCTTCAGACAAACATATCCCACCACCCTGGCCACTTTCTGTTTATTTGGGGTTTAGTTTTGCTTTGTTTTTCGTTGGTTGGTTGGTTGTTTTATTTGTTTGCTTGTTTTCTGAGACAGGGTCTGGCTGTGCAGCTCAGGCTGGCCTCGAACTCATGCCTCCGCCTCCTACTTGCTGGGCATTTGCCGCCACTTCCAACCTTGCCACTTTCTGAAGCAGTCCTGGAAATCCATTTCTGCGAGTGTCTTTATACCCTGGGCCTGGGCCTGGGCCGCCGAGGTGTGGTCAGAACGACAGTGGCTGCGGCTGCCAGGCGCCCTGCACAGAAAGGCGGGCTGTGAGAGCGTTCCCGGGTCTCATCTCCTTCACCCCACCCCGCACCAGGCAGCTAAGTCACAGTGACCAAGAAAGGTAAACACTTTGAATCAATTCAGGACGTCAGGGAAGCTAGGACAGCCACAGAAGATGACTTCTGGAGCTGCTTCAGGAAGTGGCAAGAACGGGCGCGATTTCGAGGGAGATTCATGGCCGTGTCTTTTACTGAAATCGTTTTTTAAGATTTAAACATTTATCATATCTTTTGAGTTTTTTGGGTTTTTTTTTTTTTTTTTTTTTTTTTGGTTCCGGGGATCAAACTCAGGTCCTTGTGCTTGCGAGGCAGGCGGCAGAAGCACTGAGCTAAATCCTCAGCCCTCATCTTCTCTTTTGATCATAGCTCATCTACTATCTGGACCTCTGCTTTTTTTTGCTATATTAAGAATCTTGTTAAACTTTACTAATGTCTCCCAAACTACAAAATGATCGTGTTCATTACATCTAATGAAATAACGTAAAACTGGAGAAAAGATTGTGAGGGGCCCTCTGTTGGTTCCTGTTTATGTCTGTTAGTAAACGGTGCTGTGTAAGAAGTAGGCAGGGTACGCAGAGATGAACTCCTGCAAAGTTGTAAGGAAAAGACAAACAGGAGAAAAAAGGCCAACAATGCTCAGAAGAGAGAGAGGAAGTCACCGGGCAGCGGTGGTGTGAGCCTGGAGATCCTGTGTCGTGCGGGGCCTGCGCGCCTGGCGGGCACATAGGGCTGCAGCTCGCACACTGCTCTGCTTTCCCCGAGGCTCCTTCGCAGTCCCCTCTGCCTACTCTCATGGGGCCACACCTTCTGCCCGGAGTGTGGGGTGTGGACAGTGGCCTCATTAGCGAGCGCCCACTGCACACGGTCTCCAGCCAGGGCTCCATCCAGGGCAAGGGCAGGTGGGACAGGGACCCCCTGTGCACCCCAGGCCAGCACCAACATCGGGCTGGCGCCCCAGATGGCACCCTTGTGCATAGTGCTTGGTGCCCCTGCTCGGCCTCCTCCCCCAGGAAGCTGTGGGAGACACTTAGGTCACCAGAAGGTCACCTGCTGAGTGTCAACCTGACCCTCCCGTGGGCCCTCGCCAGAGTCCCTAGTCCTAGAGATCCGGAGATATTTCCTCCTGCTCTTGTGGAAAGACGCTCACTGACCAATGCCACCGAGGACAGGCGAGTACTGAACTTCTCTCCTGTGAATTCCCACAACAGGACCTGGAGCTCCCAGTGACGGAGTGGGTCCCTGGACAAGGGAGAAGAAGCCAGCCCCACTCAGCTCCGCCTGCTGGCAAAAACCCCGCCCCGAGAGGCTCCAAGTCCGGTCCACTGGTGGGGCCCACGCAGGTAGAGCAGGAGTTTGGGTGCAGCCTGCCGCTGGACACCTGTTGGTGCAGGGTGTGGTGCACACGTGGGTGTGGGGACCATGGGAAGGCCAGCGGGGCAGTGTCGCTGCTCTGTCACCAGAGTGCCACTGGGAACCTCATGGAGAGTGGTCACAGAGGCAGCGAGACGTTGTCCATGGAGGGCCTCTGGGTCACGGAAGGGGCAGGACAGCGGCAGCGCACACCCCAGGCCACCCTTCTGCTATGCAGCTGGAGCGCAGCGCTCCTGCACCCAGACTCGCCTAACCCCTGAAGGCTCAGCCCGGGCCGGACCTGTCCTGGACACAGCCCATCCCCTGCACCTGGCCTGTCTGAGCCATGCCACCAGGGGTGGGGTCGGAGGGAAGAGGGTGGCTTTCAGAGTGACTCTGCCCTCTATACCTTCTACAGAGGCAGCACAGAACCCCTGCGGTGACCTGCAGAGCCACCCATCAGAAAGAAAATAGGGCCCCAGAGCCACCCCGGGCTAACGCAGCCCCAGAGGAAAATGGCCACAAGAGCCTCGCACCGTCCTCGCTGGCCAGCCCTTCCCTCCAGGACACCTGGAGGTTGCTAGACCTGGGTTCCAGCCCTTCCGGCCTCCCCTCGCAAGATGAGTGCACTGCAGGTAGGACAGGCTGGCCTGCCTGGGCAGCTGCTCCCTGGGTGACGGCCGAGGGATGTGTGGCCACTGCGCTCCAGACTGGTGCTGTCAGCCACAGGCGTCTTTTCTGCCGCCCTGCTTTCTGGGGCTGAGGTTTGTGCCTGCCAGGCCCTCGTGTTCACAGCACACAGCCTGCGGGACAGAAAGCAGGCCCAGCACCGCGTCCCGTTGGTGCTCAGTGGAACAGTCTGTCTGCTCCAGGAGGGTGCAGTGTGGACGTCCCACCTCACTGCCCCAGCCCCACTCCGTCTCCTGAGCCTCGTGTTGCAGCTCTGCCTGCACCATGGTCACTGTGAAGTTTTCAGGAAAATCTATTTGAAGGGCCTGTTCTGGGGAGCCACAGGAGATGGGGTGCAGCAGCAAAGGTGGACAGAGGAAGACGCTGTTTCACAATGGCAGCCAGAGACACCATGTGTGGACCTGGCGTCCACCCGGGTCCGGCCCTAGTGCGTCTCCTCCGCGCGCTCTGGGTGTGGGCGCACCCTCATCTCTAATTGTTCTCTGCCCCCTGGCGTGTCGGTTTCTTCCCGGTCCTCTGCCACCGCAGATGATGTGGTGGTGAGTGGGCTATACCTACGCTGGAGTCCGTGCATAGAACACATGTGTAATCCCAGCACTTGGGAGGCTGAGGCAGGAGGATCACTGAATTCAAGGCTGGCCTGAACAACATATTGACTTTTATTTCAAAGATTAAAAAAGGAAGAGAAAAGATTTGCAAGAAGAGTTTGCTTTGTCAAAAGGTATTGCTAGCTGGGGGTGTAGCCAAGAGTAGACTGCCTGCCTGGCATGCTAAACCTGGGTCTGATCCTCAGCACTGCAAAAAATAAACAAAAACGGAGGTATTGTAAACGTGGCAGGTGTTGTCACACCCACCTCTGTGGAGACTGCCCGTCACACTCCCACCGCTGCCTTCTCTAAACCCTCTCCAGCAGGGTCCTAAACATTGATCCTGCCCATCTGACAGGTGTCACTATAATGATTACTTCATCTTTTTTCATCTGTGTATTTGCGTACTGGATTTTTGTGTTATTATTTGCAAAAGGTCATTGTATATAATGGAAATTAAGTCTTTTCTGAGACAAAAGTTGCAAATCATTCCCCCCAGTTTTGCTTTTGTTTTCTCCCAGTACTGGGAATCAAACCCAGGGCTGAGGTTACACGAGACAAGTGCTTTAACACTGTGCTACAGCACTAGCCCACTTTCAAAGTCAGTTCCTTTGAGACTTGAGAGGTAGTCTTACCTAGGCTGGTTCAAACTTGCATTCCTTCTGCCTCAGCCTCTGGAGTAGCTGGAGTTACAGGTGTGCACCATCACATTGGCTTCTCGGATGTAGTTTTAATTTTTATGTAATTAATGCCCTTGTTTTTATCCCTTCTCACTTTTGTGACATACTTAATCCACTCCAGTCTCTCTTTTTTGGACAGGTTTCACTGTGCAATTCAGGCTGGCCTTGAACTCAAGGCAGCCCTCCTGTCTCAGCCTCCTGAGTGCTGGGATTACAGGTGTGCATGCCTGGCTAGAAATCAAACATTTTTACCCTAATTTGCCATGAGGGTGTCCCAGCACCTGACTGGACAGCCCACAGGGCCCACTTGTGTGAAAGCTCCGTTCCCATCATGCTGCTAGGCAAGTGGCGTGGCCTGGCCTGCTCGCTGTACCCGTGCAGATGCAGCACTCCATCCTGTACTATCACCCTCCTTCATGCTGGACCTAGGGTCTTCTCTGTACATTTCTTCCTCACAATTTTCCTAGTTGTTCCCTTTACATGCTTTGGTTTTGTTTTTGTTTTTTGAGACAGATCTCCGTTTGTAGCCCAGGCTGGCCTCAAACTCCCAGTGATCCTCCTGCCTCGGCCTCCTGAGTGCTGGAATTCAAGGTGTGCGCCACCACGCCTGGTAATCTATTTTTTCCATAGAGTCTTTTTTTTTTTTTCTTTCTTCGTATCAGGGATTGAATTTTTTTATCGTTTTTTGAGACAGGGTCTCACTATGTAGTTGAGACTGACCTGGAACTCAATGTGTAGCCCAGGCTGGTCTTGAACTCACAGCGATCCTCCTGCCTCAACCTCTGGAGTGCTGGGATTACAGGCTGCACGCCACACCAAGTTTACAAGACCTTGCGCTTGTGAGCTAGTCTGGTTTCCCAATCCCCACCCACCAAAACTCTATTGTTAGTTTTTTTAGGATTCATTATATTTACCTTCTGACTGTCAAACGACAAAATTACGAAAACTTAAAGATCTTCATTGGTTTTATTTGCAATCCTAGAATCAGGCCACACATGGTTCGGTAAGACAGTGTAAGCTCCAGTGAGCGGAACAGAGAGGCTGGTCTCAGACAGAGGGCTTGAATGGGAAGCCCAGCGGTTCACCGCCATCGCCCCCGCGCTGCCCGCACCGCTCCGTGCGGAGCTGCTTTGGGGACGCTCATTCGCTGCTTTGGGGACGCTCATTCGCTTTCGCTTTGCCGATTTCTTCCTCGTTTTCCCCGTCCCCCTTCTTGATCCACGGTGCGTGGGAAGCCGGCGTGGGAGCCAGGGCTGCAGTGCCCGTCTGGCTGCACCGCCCCTCTCTAGGAAGGAGCCGGGGCTGGGCGCGGGTGAGGTTCCCCAGATCCGGAGGCAGGAGGGTGCGCATCTCAGGCCAGCCCGGGCGACTTACTGAGACCCGGTCTCAGAACAAAAAAGTTCTAAGTGGTGGGAAGCCGCCTTGGGGGTGCACATGTGTAATCCCAGCGCTGAGGGAGGAGCGCCTCAAGTTCGAGCCCCTGGACAAGGGCCTGGGGTGCAGCTCGGGGGTAAAGCACCCCTGAGTGCCACCTGCAGATACAGCAGCGAGCACCAAAGCCCCAGGACCCGGCTTTTGCAGGCCAGAGCCCTCCTCTAGGGCTCGGGGTGCACCTGAGGCCCCTGCCAGTCTCCCACCTGCCTCCGTGCTCCGGGGCTCACACTTGGCCTGCTGCGAAGTGCTTCTCCTTCTCTTTTTTCATCCCCCTCCTTTTTTTTGGATAATTTTGATACAGTGGGGAAGAGATGTAATTCAGAAACCTGCTAGATATACAAAGCGCGAGTTCGTGTTCTCTAAAACCGAAGAATGAATTCTAGGAACAACAGTAGTCAACAGTAGGAAAAATGTAGCCAGGCATGATGGCGCAGGCCTGTAATCCCAGTACTGAGGAGGCTGAGGCAGGAGGATTGCTGTGAGTTTGAGACCAGCCTGGGCTACACAGTGAGTTCCACGTCAGACTCAACTACATAGTGAGACCCTGTCTCAAAAAAAACAAACAAACAAACAAACTATAGTCAACCAGTAAGATTGCAGTACAGTCGCTTAGGTAATACTGACCCAATGAGAAATCAAGGTGGACAAAACTAGGAGCAATGAACAAGATTATGACAAGGACCGTCGCTTAGGTAAAATTGATTAAGTGGGGATCGGGAGTCGTGTAGCAAGCATACAAGGAAAGAGCAAGGATTTACAGTGGTCAGGGGTGGGTCAGGGGTCTCTCCTGGAAGATCTTGGTCCCCACCCAGGTGACTGATACCTATTAGAATATCAATCACTGCTATTCATCCTGAGGGGAAGTCTGTGAGTTTGATAGTTTCTTTTCTTTTACTATGCTGGCCTTCAGTGAATGAGTGAATTTGTTTCAATCATCTGTCCTCTAAGTTGGTTCCTCAAAGGCTAGCCCTGTCCAACTGCCTACAAGATATCTAATTAGTGCTGGGAATTTAGGCAGTGGTTCTGCTGCCTGCCTTGCAAGCACAAGGGCCTGAGTTCAATCCCCAGTACCAAAAGAAAAAATATATATATATTTATATATATATAATTAACTTGCCTATCTACAGTAATCCCAGGAAGAACAGCAGAGGAATTCTAGCCTCATGGTGTCACCTCAGATCAGAAATCTACCTGTGTTCTGATAAGTGTGACCAAAGAAATACCCATTCCATGTGGGGTACAGTGATGCATGCCTATAGTCCCAGCACTCAGGAGGCTGAGGCAGGAGGATCCAGAGTTCAAATCCAGCCTGGGCAATTCAGTGAATGAGACTCTGTCTCAAGGAAAAAATTTTACAGGTGCTGGGATCTATCTTAGTGCAGACACCTGGGTTCCATCCCTAGGGCAGAGGGAGAAAGAGAGCCAGAGAGAAATGAAAAGGAAAATGGAAAATCTAGTGCAGTAGTACATCTGGCTGATTTACTCCACTCTGAAAGTCTGTTTTTCTTTGATAGTTTGATGTATTCTCATTTATTGGAAGTCTTCTTTTATTAGTGTTTTTTTCTGACATCTTATTTTGTATTTTCTATTTAGCTTTCTTTTTTTATTTTACTTTCTCATATTTTCTTTTGGAAAGATTGTGTTTTCCATTTTCTTTGGCTTGTTTTTAAGCTGTAGTCTTTATTTTTATTCTTCTGGTGATTCTTCTTTTTTTTTTGTACCAGGGATGGAACTCAAGACCTTGTGTTTGAGAGGCAGGCAGTCGAACCACTGTTGATTCTATTAAAATATAATTTTTTTACTTTTTTTTTTTAGTATTGGGAATTGAACTTAGGACCTTGCACCTGCAAGGCAGCTGCAGTGCTACTGAATTAAATCCCTGGCCCCTTAAAATATTATTTTTATTAGAACATATTAATTATACAGAATAATGGATTTTCTGTGATACTTTCATATGTTTTCATTGTTTGTTTGTTTGGAGACAGGGTCTCACTATGTAGTTGAAACTGACCTGGAATTCACTATGTAACCCAGGCTGGTCTCACATGCACAGCGATCCTCCTGCCTCAGCCTCCCAAGTGCTGGCATTACAGGCGTGTGCCACCGTGCCCAGCCTATAACACTTTTATCTACTGTTTAAATTTTTAAGACTCATGCTTCTCATTTGTCCCACCAATTTGTTTGTTTGTTTTTTAGACAATGTCTCACTATGTAGTTCAGGCTGGCCTTAAACTCACTGTGTACCACATACTGAGTTTGAATTTATGGTGATCCTCCTGCCTCAGCTCCCAATGCTGAGGTTACAGGCCTGCCCACTTAGGATGTGTGCCGCCACGCCTGGTTTATCCCACCCATTTCTGTTTTATTTTGTTTTTTGAGACAAGTTCTCACTATGTAGCCCAGTCTGGCCTCTAACTTGCAGCAATCCTCCTGCCTCAGCCTTCTAGTGCTGGATTACTGGCATACGCCTCCATGCCCCATTTATCCCACTAATTTCTTAAACATATCAACATCTGTGTTTTTATTTTCCAGTGGTATCAATTGGAGTTTGAGCTACTGCGGGCTGGTGGTCTGTAAACAGAAGTAAATTTGTCTAAATTTGGTTTTGTTTACCTTTTTTTTACTTTCCAAATGTCTCCTTGTAGTCTCTTGGATAATTTTTTTCTCCCAAACTTTTTTTTTTTTCTCTTTTTTTTGTACTGCAGATTGAATTTAGGACCTCAGGCTTGCGAGGCAGACAGCAGCATCCCAGGCCCCTCCCAAACTTATTTATTTATTTATTTTTGGTACCAGGGATCAAACTCAGGTCCTTGTGGTTGTGAGGCAGGCGCTGGAACCACTGAGCTAAATCCTGCCCCCCACAACTTATTTTATTTATTTTGTTTGTTTGTTTGTTTGTTTTAGACAGGGTCTCACTATGTAGTTCAGACTGCTCTGGAACTCACTGTGTAGCCCAGGCTGGTCTCGAACTCGCAGTGATCCTCCTGCCTCAGCCTCCTGAGTGCTGGGATTACAGGTGTGTGCCACCACACCTGGCTCCAAATTTATTTTTAACAGAGCTTCTTGTAGGAAACTTTTCAGGGCCTTAATTGCTCACATTTAAAATGTGCTGGCTGCACATAAACTCTGGCTTGTGTTTCTGATAAGCCACTAGTCTAAGTGCTTAGCTTGTCACTCAGTGCACACAGCGCAGGCAGGTTAGTAGTGGGTCCCTCAGCTCAGAGTTTGGGGCCTGACTGTGCGCTAGGTGCTGACCCTTTGTGACCCCATGCCTCTGTCGAGCTGTGAAGTAGCTCAGAAGACAGCTGGCAAAACCCAGGGTCCACCTCAGGTGGGAGGGAGAAGGGTGATCCTGTCCCCCAGCATCTGTCCGCACCCCGGGTGTGGGTGTCCCCGCCTCTGCCCAGAGACCAGGTGGCGGAGCTCTGTGAGCCAGGCCGGGATCCAGTGGGAGAGGCATCAGTGTTTGCTGTGCCTCCTGGGCCCCAACAGAAGCACAGGTGCCCAGAAGGGTAGGGAGCCCCAGAGTGGAGCCGGGTTTCCAGAGAAGTGGGGCTGGGCTGGCGGGAGCAGGGTCCCTAGAGCCGGCTGCTAGGCCCTGCCGCCCCACCCCAGAAACCTTTCCAGCAGTGGGGGCGCGGGGACGAGGAACATGGGCATTTGCTTATCGTTTAAGTTATTTATTTTTATTGGCCTTTAAATATCTACGTGTGATGAGCATGTTTTGTGCACGCTGGGTGTATTTCATAGAAAAAGTGGTAAAGGGGAATTGTGATCAACTGGGGTTCTTCAGAGAAGTCAAGGAAAGTGTCTCAGTTGCCTTCTCATCACTGGCCCTGGGACAAATACCTCGCCTGCATCATATATATATATTTTGTTTGTTTGGTTTGGTTTGTTTTTTTGAGACAAGTTCTCACTGTAACTCAGGCTGGCCTTGCATTCACTGTGTAGCCCAGGCTGGCCTCAAACTCAAGATGATCCTCCTGCCCCAGCCTCCCAGAGTAAGGCCTCGTTTCTCCCAGGCGGAGGTCACTGGTGTCTGTGGAGTGGCAGGGTTGCTGCACAGCCTCTAGCGGAGAGGCCTCTGAGCGCCTCTGCTGGAGCAGCCCTCTGAAGACCACATCGGAGAGAGCTGCAGCGCCAGATGCTGGGGAAGACGGGAGTGGTGAGGTTAGGACTGCTGCCCGGACAGGGCATGGCCGTGGCTGGGCACCGGAAAGGTGAACCTGTCACACCTGTGGCAGCCACGTGCATACTGGCGAGACTCCTGGGTCAGACACAGGTTGTGTGCTGATGGGCGAGCCGCAGGGTGAGCCGGGATGGGGGAAACCCAGGGTCTTTTGTGAAGTCACGACCGTGCCTGGCCCTGAGGGAGAGCCCCTCCTCCCCTGCACAGACACCCCTGAAAAGAGCTGGTTGTGGAGTCACACAGTTGTAATTCCGGGACTCTAGGACACTGAGGCAGGAGGCTCTCCAGTCAGTTAGCCTGGGCAACTCAGCGACATAGTGAGACCTAGTCCCAAAAAACCAAAATCAAAGCGGGGCTGCTGTATACCGGGTTCACTCCCAGTACTGGAAGAGAGAGGAGGGGAGGGCGTCAGGCAGGAGCACTGGACAGGTGATGGACAGGGTCTAGCTTGGCCCTGGGTGCAAAGCCAGTTACCCACAGATTCCCACCACAGCCTGCAGGGAGGAGGCTGGCAGAGGGGGTTTGTGAAAAGCCTTGGCAAGCGGAGCCAGAGCCAGGAAGCGGAGCTGGGAGGGCAGTGGCTGCCCCACAGGAGGGCGCACAATGGGCCACGGAGCACCCACCCTGTGGCTGCAGCAGGGCAGAGGCAGTGTGTGGCCACTGAGGATGCGCATGGAGGCAGGCGCGAGTCACAGGACAGCCTCGGGCGGCTCACCACACAGAGAAGAGCGCAGGGACAGTGCCCGAGCACAGGCTGTGCCCCTGCCAGGTCCTGCACGTGGGCCCCAGAGGCCCCTGGGGCTGAAACGCGGCTCCAGAAGTGGGAGGTTGCAGGGAGAAGCCGGCCTGGGCCACAGGGAGACCCCCATCTCGAGATGAGCATCACCAGCAGGGTTGTCGTGCCTCTGGGTTCAGTCCCTTGTACTGCAAAACAAAATAAAGCTGGAAGACGCCTTTCACCAGTGAGGCTTTGGTTCTCCCTAGGAAAGATGTTACCATCCTTCTGAGGAGACATGGGCCTGTCCGTGCGACCCAGGGGTCTGAATTACCCTTGAGTGTCTCCGGAGGGGTGGGTACTAGGGATTGATCCTAAGGCCTGCCTTCACACCAAACTACACCCCACCCCTTTTTACATTTTTTGTTTTCCCTTCTTCTTTGGTGTTTTGAGACAGGGTCTTGCTGTACAGTGCAAACTGGCCTTGAACTCACTATGTAACCCAGGCTAGACTTGAACTTGTGACGACCCTCCTGCCTCAGACTACCAAGTGCTGGGATTACAGGTTTGCACCACTATACCCAGCTTGCTTGCTTGCTTTTTCTTTCTGAGACGGGGTCTCACTAAGGTTCTGTTTCCCCAGCTGGGCTCAAAATTGCAGTCCTCCTGCCTCAGCCTCCCTAGTACTAGGATTACAGGGCTGTTCCCTGCCCCTAGTTCATAAGAATCTTTCTGTAAAACCTTGAAGACCATTCTGGGGGACAAAGGTGGCAGAATCTCTGATCAGGAGGAGGTATTTGGCCTCATCACGTTGACATGTAGGACACCATGCGGCCAGAGGAGCCTCAGACATCAGTCTGTGAGCTGCACTCCAGATGCGCCATTGCTCTGGGAGGTCAGAGACCAGGGTCCCCACAGCCCCTCTCGCCTCCAGCCTGTGTCTCTCCCCTCCACACCGAGGGGCAGTCCCCGCTGGCTGGCTCGCTCCTGGCCCTCGCCTCAGGCTGCCATGTGCACTGCCTGGGGGACAGGGCAGGCACTGGGGCTGCTGCAAATTGCAGGTACTTACTTGGTGGATTTCTAGGGAAGCCAAAGGTGGGTTTCCAAGTTTATAGCTGTAAAGTGTAGGGGAGGAAGTAATTGGCAAGATGTAGCCGCCCAGAAATCAACATCAAGAGAGGCAATGCTGGGCCCCGGATTTAGCTCAGTGGTTCCACCGCCTGCCATACAAGCGTAAGGTCACGAGTTCGATCCCTAGTACCAAAAAAATTTAAAAAATAAAAGAGGCAGTGCTCACACAAGGAGGACAGTTCTGAAACAGCCCTGCGCGCTCAGGGGAGTCTGCGTGGCGAGGTGGTTTCTCCTCCCGGGGAGGCGCAGTAAAGAGCGGGGCAGGGAGGTGGTTTGCCCAACTCGGAATCCACCCATGTGATACACAGAAGCAGAACGGAGTATTTGCAAATGGCTGGAGCAGGTTAACTTGGGTGTGAGGGAAGAAATCACACATTTTGTATTGTTTTGTTTTCTTCTGTTACCGGGCATTGAACTCAAGACCTTGCACTTGCAAAGCAGGTGGCAGCACCACATTTTTAAGATAGTTATTTTTACACCCCAAATAATCCAGGCTGACAGTGCCATGCTGCAAGCCTGTAACCCCAGCTACTTAAGAGTTTGAGGGCCGGGGATTTAGCTCAGTGGTTCCTCCTACTGCCTCAAAAACGCAAGGTCCTGAGTTCGATCCCCAGTGCCAAAAAAAAATAATAATAATAATAAGTTTAGTGAGACCCTATCTCAGAATAAAATAAGGCCAAACATGGAGAAGCACACCCGTAATCCCAGCGCTCTGGGAGGCTGTGGCCGGAAGACTGCAAGTTTGAGCCCAGGCCAGGCAATTTAGCAACCTAGCAGGACCCTGTCGCAAAGTAAAAACAATGCATTCAAAGCGCTGGGCAATGGAGCTCAGAGGGAAGAAGGCCTGGGTTCAATCCTCAGTACTGAAACAAAATTTAAAAGGCTGGAGATATAGCTCAGGGTGGCAGGATGACCTTCAACAGAGGTCACTTGCTTCTGACCGGCTCATGCACCTGGGGCCCACAGACCCGGCCAGGGCTGCCAACACCTCACTCACCAAGAAACGCCCCTCTCCCCTCTAGGCGGGCAGCCGTAGGAGCAGACCCGTTCACCCCTGAGGGTGCTGCTCCCCTCGGAGGCCCCCCCCCGACCCTGTGCTGCGCCCGACCCCAGGACTGCCTCCAGCGGCGAGGGTCCACGGCCGCCCGGGAGCCTCCCAGGCTCCGTCTCCTCCCTTCGGCGTCGGGGGTGGACCGCTTCTGCATCTGCTGCGGACTCGCGGCTCCCTGGTCTCGCGGTCCTGACCGCTGGCGTGGACAGCCAGCCCCAGGGTGGTGCTCTACTGGGAATCTGCGGCAGATAGCTATCTAGAAGGAAATAGCTGGGTCAAAGTGTGGGTAGCCTGTGTTGCGAGAAGTGTTACCAAACTTCCCTCAGAGTTGGCCGGGCGCCCCTGCTGGCTGCCAGTGCCAGGCTCCGCTCTTCCCCGCCCTGGCAGGAGCTTCTTTCCCCACTTTTTGCTTTTGGTCCGTTTGCTCCTTTCACAGGTGACTAAGAGAGCTGGAAAGATAGGCAGGTAGGCTCCTCTGACTTCTGGGGCTGAGCCGCCGGAAGGAAGGTACTCTGAAGGGAGGGGAGGCGCTGGCAAAGAGGCAGCTGTGCCCCCCAACAAGCCCTGAGGCTTGGGAGGACCCCCTCCTCCCGGGCCTGCAAGCCAAGGCTGGAAATGCTGAGGTCCCTTTTTCTAGTGGAAACGGGCCAGAACCCAGCGCCAACCTGCAATCCACTCCCGGGAGTCCCAGAGGGGCGGGCAGGACAGAGTGGGTGTGGGCAGGAGGGAGAAGGGCGTCCTGGGGCCGGAGGGTCAGGGGAGGCTCCTGAGGGGAGGGCACCCAGCTGAGGCCAGGAGGCAGGCAGGGGAAGAGAGGAGCTGCCCTCTCCCTGAGGCTTCTACCAGCCCACCCTCCACCGAACTGTCTCACTGAGAGCTGGCTTGGGAAGAAAAGGGGGTGAAGAACAGTGTGAATGTTGCTTCGCTTTTTAATTTGTTCTTTTGAAAATTACCGTAGCTTTTCCCTGAAATTTTGAAATGTTTCTTTTAACAAGTTTGCACATTGCCTGCCTTGTAAGTGCAGTTCGATCCCCGGTATCAAAAAGAAAAAAAAAAAAGTTTGCACAGTGAAAATGCCTGTGATCACAGCACTCTGGGAGGCTGAGGCAGAAGAATCCCAAATTCAGGCCCAGCCTGGGCAGCATCTGAGACCCCATCTCACTAAAAGCAGAAGTAGAAAGGCCCTGGGTTCCACCACCAGTCCTGGGAAAGAACAGCTTGCATGCTGTGTTAAAATAAAAGCACTGTATGCTGCTGCTATAAAGTTGCTGTAGAAACCCCACTTACACAATCAGAAGCTTCCTGTGCAGATTTGTGTGACAACGCCGTTCCAGCCTTCTCTTATCTGATGATCCAGGATTAAAGCAGAACAGAACAACCAGCTTCCATGCAGCCTGACTGAGAGTCCCCCTGTCCCGGTCACGTGACGCAGATGTGGGCTCCCGTGGCCCAGGGCTTCTCCATGGCGCCTGCTGGCCCCTACGCAGGCTGGAGGTCACACAGCCACTGCTTAGTGGGGTCCGGGTCTGAATCAGCCCTGACCCCAGGCTCAAGCCCTTGCTGCAGCAGCAAAGGACACAGTGGCCTGAGGTAGCAGGTGGGCGGCCAAACAGCCGCTAGAGGTTTTGACACCTGCAGGGCTGCTCCTTCCTGACCCTGTAAGAGGAGTAAGCAGATCTTTCTATTCCTAGAGAAGCCATAAAAAATGTCCATAGCTAATTAAGTCGACAAGATCTGGGCCGGTGCAGGCTGTGTGCAGGCTACAGGAGCTAATTCTGTGTGGAGTCATGGGACAGCTTTAAGCAGCTGGCAGCACCCAGTGGCCCCATGGGCAGCTCCTGGCAAAGAAGAGGCAGTGATCAGGAGGTGACAGGCAGCACAGGAGCACCAGGACTGGGACCCAGAGGTCCCGCCCAGTGCTGTGGCCTCTTCCCCACATGGATGCTGTGCCCTGCGTGGACCTCAGAAGCCCCAGTGACACAGGCTGTTCAGGAGACCACAAAATAAAACACAGAACATGCAAAAGCGTTAATGAGCCAGACATGGAGATGCACGCCTGTCCTCCCAGCATGCAGGAGACTGAGGCAGGAGGATCGAGGTCAGCCTGGATACACAGCAAGAGCCTGTCTCAAAACAAACATGAAAAGCTTTTCACTGTGAAGGAAGAGAAAATGGGAAGGGACTAGAGCACAAGGGAAGAGCCAGAGTAGCAGTCAGCCTGGCCTGTTAGCTCCAGAGCAGGGCTGGCTTTTTAGGTGCTTCAGGGCTGCTGGAGTCTTGCTCTCCCGGTGGGTCACAGTACGGGAGTTTGGGAGTTTTCCCTTACGTTTTAGGGGGTTTGCTCCCTGTACACACGTGAGTCACTGCTGTCTTCACCCTGAGGCATCCCGGTGCCCCTGACATCAAGGCACCTCTGTAAGATGGGTGGGGGGCCTTGAGAATTTGATCTTCACCTGGACAACTTAGTGACTCAGACACAGCGAAACCCTGTGCCTGCAAGGCAGGTGGCAGAGCCGCTCACAATTTTTTTTAAAAAGGCTGGGAATGTAGCTCAGTGCAAAAGTCTTGGGTCCAATCACCAGTATTGCTATTTAAAAGAGAGAGGGAGAGAGAGAGAGAGAGAGAGAGAAAAAACTAGATAAAAGGGAAGGACACATTCCATACATTGTTAGGCAAAGTGTTTGTGACCAGCCACTCAGGTCCTGCTGCCCTTTGCTCCCCAAGAAACACAGGAGGCAACCAGGCTGGTAATCTCTCTATTCTAGGAGGCTGAGGCAGGAGATCCAAAGTTCAAGTAAGCCCAGCCTAGGCAATTTAGTGAGACCCTGCCTCAAAATAAAGAATAAAGCTAGTCATAGTGATGCACATCTGTAATCCCAGCACTCAGAAGGATGAAGCAGGAGGATCACCATGAGTGCAAGGCCAGCTTGGGCTACCTAGTTGAATTCAAGGCCAGCCAGAACTACGAAGTGAGACCCTGTCTCTAAATATATAAACAAAGTAAGACCTGGAGATGCCAGGCATGATGGCTCATATCTGTAATCCCAGCACTTGGGAGGCTGAACCAGGAGGATTCCCCTGAGTTTGAGGTCTGCCTGAACTGCATAGCAAGACTCTATCTAAAAAGAAAAACAAAACGGGACCAGGGATTTAGCTCAGTGGTTCCGCCACCTGCCTTGCAAGCACAAGGACCTGAGTTCGATCTCCGGTACCAAAAAAAATAAATAATTAATTAATTTAAAAATTTAAAAAAACAAAACAAAAGCAAAAAATAGAGCCGGGGATGTAGCTCAGTGGTGCTGCCCCCTGCCTCGCAAGCGCAAGGTCCCAAGTTCAATCCCTGGTACCAAAAACAAAAACAAACCAGAACGGGGTACTAGCGTAGAGGTTCAGCCCTCAGTGTTGGGAGGGGGACCCCACAATCCCCATCTCTTGTCCCTGAGAGGGTCCTGTCCTGTTTCCTAAGGACCCAGCTCATCCATCCACTTCCAGGGTCAGGTGTCACTTTGGGGTCTCCGGGTCCTCTCCTGGGGGGCTGCTTTGGACCAGTGGCCCTCAAAACAGTCGTCTGAGACTCATCTGCCCACACTGGAGCCCAGAGGCATAAATACAGCCCACAGGGCCTCAACACCCTTTTCTCCACTTACCCCCCAACCAGCATCAGAGGACAAAATCATGACGATCCAGTGGACGGATCCCAACTGGATCTGAGGCTCAAGCCCCAGCCTGCCCTCCTGCACTGTGGGAGGGTGAGGAACCAGGCGGGGGAAGGGGGCTCCAGAGAGAGGAGTAACGGGGTATGATGCACAGCGTAGTACTGAAGAAAAAAGAAAGAAAAATAAGGAAGTAAAGTGTCCAACAGAGAGGCCAGTTTCATAGAGGCCAAGGAAAGCAGGAAGGAGAAGCAAGAGCAAAAGGCAGCTGGTCCCGGTGACCTTCGTGGTCCAGGTGGGGCCGGGACAGTGGGCTCCTTCCTGAGAGGTTGAGCCCCAGAGTGATGGTCGCTGGCCTCAAGGGTATGTGGCGATCGCCGCTCTGTCCTGGGTTCTGGGAGGTCGACAGAGAGTGGTGGTCAGTGAGGGGACAGGCTGTGGCATGAGGGACACCATGTGGGTGTCCAGCCCACCAGCCAGGACGGAGCCTGACCATAGCAGCGGCCTCCTGTGATCTTGCTGAACACCAGGAAGTCCCTGCCACCGCCACCTGGCCTCTAGGGAAACTTGTGAAACCCTGGGTGAGCGCAGGAGAGCAGGGTAGACGGTAATGAAAGAGCGGTGACGCACTCTGACCAGAGCAGATGGAAACTACTCCAGAGGGCTGGCTTGGGAGCAGCGTGTGCCTCCCAGGGAGCAGCCCAGGGACACTGTGTGCCACGCTGCTTTTTTGGAGGTCTCCCTTCAGGTCAGGAGCCTGGCTGGAAGACGCCGGGGCAAGAGTGCAAAGCCTCAGGACAGCCCAGGACAGGGGTAGCTGGCCCAGAGACCAGGCCAGCCACACAGGCCCTCAGGAAGGGGACGCCAAGCTGGTCTCCCTTAGCTCTTGAAAGCGCTAGGACCACTCCTCTCAGGAAAGCAACTTCTGTTGAAGTGACTTTTGAAACAAAGCAAATACGTTAAGAAATAACCCAGCTGGCTGGCTTTTCAGTGCTGTTTATTCTAAGGCCACAAAGTGGCTGGCACCCACTTCTGCCTTTGCCAAGCTGTGTTTATAAGGACCAGACTTTGGTGTCCCCCATATACATGCAGAAAACTGGGCCACAGGTCCAGCATCAGCCCTCTGCCCAGAGGCTGGCGAAGTAGAAGAGCACCCCATGGGTCCACATGGGGCTTCTCTGGAGTTTCTTTTGTTTGCAGTACCAGGAACAGAACCCAGGGCCTTTGCACTGAGTTATGTTCCCAATGCTTTTTTAAAATAATTGCTCAGGTTGGGCACGAACTTGCAATTCTTCTGCTTCAGCCTCCCAAGCATGTGCTGCCTCTCTTGGCTGAGGAGCTTTTCTGACTTTTCTCCTGAATACCAGCCCACACTTGTACAGAATAAAACTGCACAATGAACGGAGCCTGGTGAAATACACCTGTGACCTCAGCACTTGAGAGGGTGAGGCACAAGGATCACAAGTTCAAACCCAGCCTGGGCAGTTTAGGGAGACCCTACTAAGCCATGTAATCAGAACACTTGGGAGGCTGAGACAGGAGGATCATCACAAGCTCACTATTTACTCCAGACTAAATAGTTTAAGGCCAACCTGGACTATATCCACCCCCCAAAAGTGCTAGTGACATAGCTCTATTCAAAGGGTCTGGGGTCAAACCCCAGTACCACAACCATCAAAAGAAAACGGAAAAACAAACAAAAAAACGGAATTTACAAGAGGCCATTTTGTTTTGTTTTTGTCCTTCAGGCTGGCCTTAAACTTGAGTTCCTTCTGCCTCAGCCTCCCAGTTCCTGGGTTCACAGGTGTGCGTCACTATGTCCAGGGGAGGCCTCTTACAGACGAAGCTCCCGCACTGGCCCCAGATGGAGTCACTGAAGCCAGAGTCCTGCCCTGAACCTAATTCTGCCTGCCTGCCATAGATGCGGGTTACTCAGGGCAGGTGCTCTGGGCACCCTAACCAAGCCACCTCTGCCCCCAGCCCTTCAGAGACGCTAACCTGACGTAACCCGCTGTTGACCACTCCATTCTTTTTCTGACTGCCTGTCCCTGTTCACAGGGAAAGTAACTTTGAAATGACCTTTTTGTTGTTTTGTTTCTGCTTTTTTGGAGGGGAGGGGGCTCTTCTGTCTGTAAAAGCAGCTCTGATTCTGGGCTCATGCTACACTCAGCCAGTGATGGGAGCACAGGTGGCCAGTTAGGACAGGCGGACTGCACTGTGAGCCACCCAGACCCTGCCTGCCATGCTCTCCTTCCAATGCCTGTGAGCTTCCTTCTTTTGAATCAAGGTCTTGCTATATATTTCGGGCTGTCTTGAACTTGTGGCAATCCTCCTGTCTCAGCCTTCCAAGTGCTGGGACTATAGGTGGGTGCCACGACACCTGCCTTAGTCAATTTAAAGGATTAAAATCGCACAGAATATGTTTCCTGACTACAAAAGAATTTAATTAGAAATCAGTAACAAAGATCCCTAGAAAAAGCTCCAAATATTTTCAAAGTAAAATACTTCTAAATAATCCCTGGGTCAAAGAGCAAGTCCCAAAGCAGTGCCTAGAAATTTATGCCTTTAATGCTTTGTATTTTGTTTTGTTTTTCTCTTTTTGTTGTTTGGTTTTTATACCTATGAAGCCAGGCATGGTGACTTAATGTCAGCACTTTGGAGGCTGAGGCAGGAGGATGGAGGGTTTGAAGCCAGCCTGGGCTGTATCATACTCAAGACACTGTTATCAGAAGCAGAACAAAAACGCTTGTATAGGGAGACGACAGGTCTAGAATCAATGAACTCCCAGGTGTGGTTGTGCATGCCTGTAATACCAGCATTTGAGAGGCTGAGGCAGGAGGGTCGTTGTGAGTTGGAGGCCAGCCTGGGCTACGTAGTAAGTTCAAGTCCAACCTGGACTACATAGTGAGACCCTGTCTCAAAACACCAAAAATAAATAAATAAAGTCAGTAATCTACACTTCCACTTTAAGGAGTCAGAAAAATAAAAACAAATTAAACCCAAAGACTAAAGAATTAAAGAAATGAGAAAAATAATACAGGAGAACAATGGAACTGGACTGTGATTCAGATTGACTCATCCAGCTAGTTCAAGATAAATATCAAAATATACTGAAAACCCAAAAAGCTAAACGTCAGAATAAGCAGTTTATCTGCCAGATGTGGTGTGGCACAGCTGTAATCACAGCCCTTTAAGAGGCTGAAGCAAACTCTGTCTTAGCGAAACCCTGTCTCAGAAATTGAAAAGGGGTTGAGGATGTAGCTCACTGTGAAGGCCCC